CCCCAAAACCCCAAAACCCCAAAACCCCAAAACCCCGATTTTAGATTATAAGATTGATATAAAATGTCCGCAAAAACTGAAGAGAACTCTGTTCTAACAAAAACTTCAAATCAGCAGCCCCAAAACCACAAAAATCCTTTTGTAAATGTATCCTCCAGCCTCAAAAGTAAGCTTAGAGCTCGAAAATCCAAAAAATAATTAAAAATTTAGGCAAAACTTCGCAGGAAGGAAAATGCCAATTCACCTTAGGAAAGAAGCTGCAGGACTTCATGAAGAGTACCCTTAAAAGTTACTTCTAGATACAAAGAAGAAAATTGAAGCCAAGTGCTTAGATATTCCTGAACAAAATAAGATACAAGGTCGGGCAGTTTATAAGGCCAAGAGACTCGTCAGGACGAAACACAAAAACCAACAGCCAGAAGAAACTAAAGGCAGGTTTAGGCTAAGTAAGATTATTTGTAGAGGATTTAGTAAAACCGTTAAATAAACCCGAAGAAAAATATACTAAAGATACAAAGAAGAAGCTTGAGGTTACTGAGAAGTCTGATGAAGAATTGAAAAGACAACCTGAGAAAATATCAGTGAGAGGGAAATATTTACCTGATCTGGGTAAAATATGCGTAGATCCTTTTTGATCCAAACCCGATTCAGAGCATACTGAAGACTCTAGATGCGTTAGGACAGCTCCTAAAGAGCTTACAAACAAGCATAAAGAACCTTTAACCCCAATAAACACCCCTGATCTTCCTCCAGACTCTCTTTCCAACTCTCCCACAACTTCTAAAGCTAAAATTCCCACCCCATCACTCCCAACTAAACAGCCCCAAGCAAATGACCCCTCTCTCCACTCTACAGTCTCATTCTTCCCTAAAAATGCCCTCCCAGGTCCTAACCCACCTCGCTAAAGTCTCCTAATCCGTAATTCTCTTGGTAAATTCAATAAAATTTCAGATTTTCTTCGATAAATTTCAGCACAGAAATTTCAGTTTTTAAGATAAGCTAAGGGGTTTTGGGGTTTTGGGGTTTTGGGG